TTAAAGTGCACCTAAACCCAAAATTTTTTTTTCGCTTAACGAAATAAGCTTATTTTTTGGAGTATTTCTGTGCAAAAATTTTTTAATTTGCTCAAATCTTTAATTTTCTATGCCCAGTCAAAATACGGAAAATCGGCCGCCATCTTGCCCCACGACCGAGTTTAAAGAAGAATGGCTCTAGCGGGTAATGTGACGTCAAATCGAGAACACGAAAGTCTGCATTTCACACATTTTCACTTGTTTGGGAAGGTTGTAGTCGATAATTGTCCGAAAATATGCCGACTAAGTGTGTTGTAGAAGGATGTAGCAACGTGCGAAATTTGCAAGAGGGTATCGCGCTTCATACATTCTTCATACAACACACCTAGTCGGCATATTTCGGACAATATCGACGACAATCTTCCCAAACAAGTGAAAATGTGTGAGATGCAGACTTTCGTGTTCTCGATTTGACGTCACATTACCCGCTAGAGCCATTCTTCTTTAAACTCGGTCGTGGGGCAAGATGGCGGCCGATTTTCCGTATTTTGACTGGGCATAGAAAATTAAAGATTTGAGCAAATTAAAAAATTTTTGCACAGAAATACTCCAAAAAATAAGCTTATTTCGTTAAGCGAAAAAAAAATTTTGGGTTTAGGTGCACTTTAAGTAAACAACAGGTTGCAGATAAGACATGCCCCTCGATGAGTCATCCCTAAACTGATTCTAAGCCTGCACTTCCACATAGTACTCGACAGTTTATGCAAAATGAATGTCATACCCCATTTTGTGGAGACTCTTCATGATAGTTAAAATCCAAAAATAATCAGAGCTAGCCTGTGGTTACTGAGCGGTGCTGTAGTCGTGTACTATAAACACACTTTTAAAAGGACTGTCGCGTCTCTGCTTCATGGAAACCCTCTTTTTTAACCTTTCAGTACGCAGACAGGCTGAGGGTATGAGTTTTCGGGTGGTCCAAATGTACATCGCTCTGATAATGGCATACTTACTGACTGACCAGCCTTGCCATCCAAACAAGTCGGGAGACATTCATCCCTGAGAAAAAAACATGGTACTGTTAAACTATTTAAGTTTACCATTATATGTAAGGATTTTGCATAAGATTGGTTGACAGGATCACGTGATTTTTCCTGAGCTAATTTACAGTAAAGTAAGGCAAAACCAATGTATTTCTGTAGTACTGACGTCACTCATGGGAAAATTGCACTTCCTACTAAGTTCTTTCGTAAAAGAACAGTGGAAATGCTCATTCTATCAATTTCTTGAGAGTAAATACAAGGCTACACAAGCACACTGAAAACGTATCAACTTAATCACTCCAGAAACTCTTACGATTGGCCCTGAGAATTAATATTACTTTGCAGCGTTTGCACACATACTTGTCAAGAAATTCACTAGGTAATGACTCGGACTTATCACTGGCCCCAGGAGTGCTGGATCTGCGTCCACTTGATGGTCTCGAATGAGGCTTCTCATTCTTGAACAGATCATCCGATGCTTGTCGAACATCTGTCAAGCTGTTACTTCTTCCTGGATCAACACCTGCAAAAAAATTTAAACTTCATTTACTCACGAATTCTTAGCAACAAATAAACTTTATTGTTCCACAGTACAGGCTAACCCGAATCAATCTTTTCCCCAGTGTCCTCGTTGCCTTGGCCAGCGGTTCGGGGATAGAGACTCTGGTCATATCCAAAGAGAAAAATCTTCGCACATCCAGGAATGAATAACTCCAGTTCCGGAATTGGATTACTCCAAAGCCTTCCGTCCTTAAGACGCTGGACAAGAGTCATGGACGCTCTAGGAAAGAGCTTAAACCTGATCGTACTAATTAAGCAACAGAGGCTAAAATAGCTTCATCCGGCTGAAAAGCTGGTGAAAAATCTGGCAGAAGAAAAATCATTCAATCACTAACCTGAATCATTCTCAAGCCAGATGGGTCTAGATTTTGATCTTGAAGATGAACGGGATGAAGAACTGTAAGTAGATAGGAAAATACATAAGCATGACAAGGTGCTAGAGAGATAGACGCACCCACAGGTAAAAGTCGAAACTAGAGAGTAACCTCTAGGACCACACCAGAAAGAAGAAATTCCTTGTCTTTCGCTCTCACCCAGATTTGTCTTTCTTCTTACTCGACCCTAACCACGGTGGCTTGTTTGGTAACACAGAACCAGCCACAGCGTTTCCCCTTAAAAGAAAAAAGAAAGGTCACCCATGTGATTTGTCAATAACAAAATATTTGTAAGGTAACAGAGTTTTTCATTTGATACACGTAACTTTAGTTGACTTCAGCTGCAGATAAGTCCTATCGAACCAAATTTTGTCCAATCAGGGCTCGACACCAACGGTAGCCAACTAGCCACAGACTAGTAGAAATTCAAATGAATAAAGGCTGATAGTTTCGAAAGAAACTGTTTGGGGCTGCGTCGGTGGGGGTAACGAAATAACTTGGATATTTCAACAAAGTTGAAGTGGTAAATTGGCCACCGTAACGATTACAAAAGCTGACGTTTCGAGCGTTAGCCCTTCGTCGGAGCGAATAGAGGAATTGTGGGTTGTGTGTGCTTTTAAAGGCAGAGAATGGAGCTACGTTATTGGTGGGAACATGGCAACGAGAAAAACAAGAATAAATTAGTGGAATGAAAAGCGTTCGTTGATCCCTGTGGGATTTAGACTGCCGGTTTGAAAGATGAGCTTTTGTTCAAGATTTTTACGGCTTTCCGTGCTACCTAAGTGTAAGGAAAGACCGCAGATTGCCATATGTTGCTTAGAATGATTAGGTAAATTAAAATGTCTAGCNGGGATCAACGAACGCTTTTCATTCCACTAATTTATTCTTGTTTTTCTCGTTGCCATGTTCCCACCAATAACGTAGCTCCATTCTCTGCCTTTAAAAGCACACACAACCCACAATTCCTCTATTCGCTCCGACGAAGGGCTAACGCTCGAAACGTCAGCTTTTGTAATCGTTACGGTGGCCAATTTACCACTTCAACTTTGTTGATATATCCAAGTTATTTAGTAGAAATTCAGTTTGGCTGGTGGTTTTCGATTTCCACTAGCCAATCTGGCTAGTAAACAAACTGAAATTGTTGTAACATGTAAGTTGCCACTTGGCAAGTAAGTTGAAAAGTTAGTGTCGAGCCCTGCTAACTCACTACAACAAGACTACTTGTGGTCAGCGTTTTCTCTCTTAGTCAGACCATCCCCCAAAACCTGATTCCTTCTAATCTTTTTTCCTGTCTGAAACCTTCCCTCATATAAAGAGATGAGCGGACTGCAAACTGTCGACGCTTGATTGAATACAAGTCACGAGAAAAATAACTGAGACAAAGCGCCTTAAAATAATCAGTGCATCTAGCAGCCGCAAATAAAGTCAAGTTTAACCCTTTACACCATAACATCAGCATGTATATTCTCCATACTGTTCTCTCTAAGTTTCCTTGTTGCTAACAAGGAGAATTCATTCAACAATTAAGATCTTCTTTAGTCGGTAATCATTTCAGTTATTCTAGTGATCTTAATGTTTTATTCAAAGATGATACTGTAAGGAGAAATTAGATGTTGGTCAGTCTTAAGGGTACAAGGGTTAATAGAGTGTGTGTCTAACACCTTATGCCGCTCTGTCAACTTACCTCACAGAATCACTGGTCACATCCGAAGTCTCAAGAGCTTCTGAGGATGAAAGATTTGGAGTGGAACTTGACCTAATAGCAGAGGAAAATCCAAGATCAAAAATCAAAGTTGCAGCAATTTAAGCCGCTCTTGTCTCTTGCTCCTGAACGAGTAAGGGGATACACCATTTTCATCGGATAAAAGTACACATATACAGACACACTACGCAAAGTTTGGTAAAAATAGCGGCGCAAGTTTACTCTCTATGAACGACCTTACGCACACAACCCAAGCCCGTGTTTATGATCTTTTTCGTGAGTCACCCTTCCCCAACAAGCAGTATTTCCTCCCTCTGGGTGGAGACCGTATTATGAATATCAACTGCATTATAATCAAGAAAACGCGAACATTTACCTGGTAACAAGGGATTCCTCCTCAAGATTCTTATTACTCGATGCCAAGTCCGCAGCTAAGAGAGACCTGAGGTTTTTCTCCTTCGATCTAGATACCAAAACAATAGTCGCTTTTAATATTCAGTTCCTAAATAAATCATTAGTTCTCCACATTTCAGTGTGATCTCACATGGACTATATGCTAGCACAAAGAACTGCTCGTTGTCTTATTGAACTTGTATACATAATGCACATGCCGGTTCTTACTTCACTTTCCTTTGTCTTTAGATCTGTGGTAGTGGTGCGATAATGACACAAGCAAACAACATTTGAACCAAGGATAAAAACTGGACCACAAGATATACATGCACGCGAAAGTCAGTTGTAAAGGATTTATCACGCTTCGGCCAAATTAATGCGTTTCAAGGTATCCGTTTTCGTCTCAACCAAATGGAAACAAAATATCTAGCCCACGGCGACGTCTTCGTTTTATTTTCTCGAGTCTAAACCAATGCGCTGTGTCCATTTTAAGAAACGACAGTATCTTAATAGAGACTACAGTATCTAGCTTTTTTTTTTTCATATCAACATTAGAAGTGCTAGAAACGGATTTTTGAAAAAACAACCTGTTTTCGTCCTCGTTCTGTTTTCACATGTCTAAACCAATGCGCTGTGTCCATTTAAAAAAGCGAAAGTATCTTCATAGAGCCGACAGTATCCAGCGTTTTTTTTTTTTTTTTTTTTTTTTTTTTTTTTTTTTTTTTTTTTNATCATATCAACACTAGAAATGCTGGAAACGTTTCTGCGCATTTTACGGTGGATGACACGCGGAAAAACATCAATAGGCTTGCATTTTCAAACGAAAACGCATTATTAGAGACGGGACAATAGTTAGCAACGTAAAAGCTAATGCAAACCTGGTAAATTTCGGTCTGATCTCATAAGGGAGATGCAAAAACAGAGCTTCATTTCCTTAAACTTTTACAAAGTATAGTGACCTAAAACTTCTCACTTGTCTTGTCCCTGTTGTTGTTGGCCTGCCTTACTCTCTTCTGCTGATTTTTCCTGTCGATGTGGTCTTGGAGATTTTGGGTACATCCGTGGAGACTCTGGAGGTTTTGGTATCTTGTCATGTTCTTTAGAATGTTTGCCACCTTTAACAGGTCTGAAGAAAAAGCAGATGGAAACAAGTAACCTTAAACCTGTCTATGGTAATGACATCGGGCAGTGACGTTTTACATTATGCTAGGCTACAATAACAACAAGTGTGATAGATTCTACAAGTTGGCCACGCACTGTGTGCAACTTTTTCGTTCTTACCAGATGCACGGAAACATAGAATCTATTTGTCAAAGGGTACTCTAGAAACCAACACAGAAACGTGCATTACCTTTCATTTTTGTATTGCCCAACACTATCAGCCTTGATATCACGCTCTTTTCCTTGTGGATCTTCCTCAGTTGATGATTTTAAGAACACTGTTTTGCTTCTGCTCACATCATGTTCAGAATTATCATCACACTTAACAGCAGCGCCCCTCTCTTTATTCTCATCTTTTTGTCCATCGACAGATCTTCTCAATACCACAGTTTCACTTCTAATTATAGGTTCCGGATCCTTTATAGGCAAAGTATATCAAATTTATGAACAACAATCAACTAGAAAAGTGCGCATGGCTCACTTATTTTACCGCACGGAGAATAATACCCCTCGTGGTCTTTATTTGTAAGCAAAGGTAAACGTCTTGAACCAAAATGCATTGGCTAACTTTATCATAGTGTTCACAAATTTCTCACAAAATTAAAATGAGTGCAAAAACGTAGTGAGGGATGTCATGGACCAAAAATCTCAGACAAAGTTGTCTAGATGAATGTAGCTTTAAAGCAGATGGGAAAGTTCGCGTAAAAAAAATGTTGTAACCTGTAGGAAATTAATGGTTATAGATTTGTCTATGATAGTAGTTTGCATATGCCTCTTCTCTTACTTCGGTCTAAAAGATAGATTGCATTTACGTGAAAACTAATAGTGCACATCAATTCACCTGTGCCTGCTCCTTGTTTCCTGCTGATTGTTCTTTTGTGTGGGTAAGATTGATAACTTTGCCGTAATCAAACACCTGATTACCACATCCCTCCAATAAAAGAAAGTTTTCAGTTCAATCCTACATTATCCTGTTCAGCTATCCAAGTACATGCTTATTTAGCAGACAACATTTGCCAAAAACTTTCAAAAGTAAAACAAAACTTCACTCACTTTGTCAATAACTCCTTCCCACACAAGCTCCCCTCCAACGAATATTCTCACATCTTTAGCTCCGAAATTAAGTTCCTTACAAAAGTGATAAATACATGAATAATTCAAGAAGGAAAGATTCTAAGAAAGGGCGATACTTATAGGAATGGTTCAATGTAAAACTTAGTACTGGGTAACAACATAAGCGTCTCAATTGAAATCAGAGAAATATGTCTTGAAGTCGTTTAAGGTTTTTACGATTAAAGATTGGTTCAGTTATTTCCGAGATAAAGTAAGGATACGAGGAATCAAACCTCGGACCTTTGGTTTCACGGCACGATGCTCTACCATTGAGTTACAGAGAACTCAAAGGTGGGCTGCAATTGCAGACAAAACTTTCGTCTGAGACAACTAAGCGGAACGTACTTTTTTCAATCTAGGCTCATCTATCGTACTTTTCCTTTCCCCTTTCCCCTCTTTCAATGTTGTTTCATTTGCAATTTCTCTTAGGAAAACATATTTTGGGGACAAAAACGCTAAAAAAAAAAAAAAGGGAGAGGTGAGAAGGACATCTACTTTAGTCAAGCAGTAAGATTTGAGGAGAGCTGTCATATGCTTGAACAAATAGTCAATACGTTTTGCCCGGATTGTGAGCCACTACACGTAGCCGTTCACATGTCACAAGCATCCTCTTTACTGCTAGGACCAGCAGTGTTGAAAGGATTATGAGAAACTAAGGAGAGACACTTGGCTACCTTTTTCATACTCCTACGCGTGTCAAATGTTTAACATAATCACTTCTTGTCTTACATCTGTTTTAATCTTTTTTTCTTTCACTTTAAAGACGGGGAAAACAACATTTTTTCCCATACAGGTAGGTGGACAAGTCAATTAGGATGAAACAATAACAGTCTATGTTGTTTCGTTGCGCGGAACTACAAGTAACAAAATGTTCAGAACGCGGTGCCAAATGACTAACCTTGATGCCTCTGTTATAATTCCAGACAGAAATTTTTGACAAACCATGAGATTCAAGACTGGTAGTATCACCACTAGGCAGGTGAAACACTAATTCAACTGGATGTTTACTTTCCAACCCACATGACCACATGTACCGACCTTTAATTGTCTGAGAAAAAAACAGTAACATTCAGAATTAATTCACCACCAGCATGTAGATGTATTCAGCTATCGCAAAGGGCCCATTTGTGAGACAAAAAGGAACGCTTATACAGTAGTTTTAAGAGCACCCTACAACAATTGGCTTACAGTACAATCAAGTAAGATAAACACTAAGTAAAACATATTTACCTTTGTTTTGCCATTGGTTAAGTTACCAAGAACACCTCCGTCTCCAACATGGCCTGACAAACTAACATTGTGCTCATCATAAGGAATCATGTTACCTTCTAAATCGAAGAACTGAATCTGAAGAACAAAGAATTTACGTAAAGAGAAAACAAACCACCAGATTAGTTAATTTGGTAATATCAACTAAGTTGAAATTGTAAATTGGCCACCGTAAAGAGTTAAAAAGCTGACGCTTCGAGCGTTAGCCCTCCGTAACTCCTAATTAACAGCGAATAATTATGGCGTTGTTATTAAAAGTAACGACAATAATACAAGCGAAGGAAACTAACAAACCTCTGTTAGTCCAACATAACTTGAGTTTCCCCAGTTTGAAATAATCTCAAAGTAGACATCTAGTCCCTCTTCGTTTTCAACTTTATTATTTTTAGCATCTTCCAGTGAATCCATCACACTGAGATCCTAGAGGATAATACAAAATATACCGTTTGCTGCTCAAGGGCAAGCGAAAACGTGGAGTCAAGCCACTTAACTGTACATGCAGGAACAGAACCAACTAATGAACAACACTGAAAGTCATTTCCCTCCCTAGCAAACTGCCAGATTGGGTACCCCTTAACGAGACAAGAGAATACACATCCTCAGTACCTGGGACTGACTCTCGATGGATGAAGATTTTGTCACAGGTGAAAATGGTACGGTGGCCTTCATTGGGGAAGGTCGAGAAGGTGAAGGACTGGGTACTTTTAAAGGAGCCTTGCATTCCAGTTTGGACAGAAGCTCTATCAAACTTTGCTGTTGCCTGCAGGTGAAAAATCAAGACCTCTTTGTCACTTTGGTAAATGTTTGTCCAAATAGTTACATCATGACCTGATATTTTACTTCCTCTGTTATTATATGTTGAGTAGCAACGTTTCCAATGATAAGCTTACAACATTTATGGCAAAAGTGAAGAACAGTTCCCAAAAGATACTGTCGGCCGACAGTTGGCAGACAGCCAACAGGTCTTTTTTAGCATTAAAATACAAGTTAGGTGGTAGGTAAATACAACAATTGGTTCGTTTGGCCGGCTGTCAGTACTGTGTCGGCCAACTGTCAGCCGATCACGGGGGCTATTGTTCACTTTTACTACATTCATAATATAGACACTGAATCTAACTCCTTTTAATACTTAGTAATACTGTAGGGTCAAATAACTGATTGCCATAACTTTTGATCGCCATAAACAAGTAGGCCAAACTCAAATTAGATATGAATATAAATTGGCCATTTACCTTGCATCCATTTTTCTGACTTTCTCTGTGACAAGAGCGATGGTATCATCAGTTTTCAAAGGAAAGGAAGCCAATGATGATGGTCTTTTAACCTCATGTAATGGTGTGCTGGATAGGTTCTAGGAAAAGGCAAAAACAAAATCTCAAGCAAAATCTGTATGATCAAGTCTCAATCTAAATCAAGACTGAATGACTCTCAATAGTAAACTAACTACAAAATCTCAATTATTGCAACTCAAAATTAATGGCTTGCCAATCATTCAGGAAAATCACTGCTAATGATTCAAAAATATCATTTCTAATGCTGTTTCAGTTCCCCTTAATGAAAGCCCTGTTAACTTTGCAACTTACCTTAGATCTTACTGGAGCTGTCTGAGAGCCAGAAGCTTTTGATTCTAAAAAATGATAAAGAAGGGTTAATAAATAATTAATATTTAGTTATCTGACCATCTCATGACACAACATTTTAACACCAGTATCATTTAAGGTGGCTCATACTAGTTTCCTCGCACGGGGAACAGATAACTCTTGCGTCACGTGCGAGACAAACATGCGAAAGAAGCGCAAGATTAAGACGAAAATTTAAAACAAAGATGGCGGCGCGAGGATTTTTTTTCTACTTATGCGAGAAGTTTACCTAAGAGCTTGTATTTGATGTGTTGAGCAGCCACTGTGAATGCAGGAGATAGAAACTAAGATAAACAAGACGATTTTCAAAGAAGTAAGGGTTGCTTCACTTCACATTTAAAAGAAATATTCAACCGATATGAAATCTTGCGACGGCGAAAAAAGAACTCAAGTGAAGGATAATCTACCTGAAATGGAAGAAGACTTTGAAACTTCAAGGAATAACGTTGGAAGGAATCATTAGAAAAAAACTAGAAAATTTTATGGAAGGAAGTTTGCGATGTGTGAAAATTGCCTTTTATTCTAGATTTTCTGAAATTCCACTCCGTAGAATTTTTTAAAACTCTTTGTGCATTTTCCTTTTCAAGTGCCAAAAGCAATCACTGAAAAAAATCACGGGGTCACCGGGTTAGTTTTCGAATTATTTCAGCCACAAGCTAAAAAATGTGTTCTAATAAGCCTATGAAAGCGTTGCCATGGAAACTGCTAATGACGAAATGACACCTATTTTTGGATAACCAATTATTATATAATTCAACCCCGTAAAAGTGTTCAACTTGCCTCGGTCAGTCTTTCTGTTGTATTCTTTCAAAGTTACAAACCATCAAAAAGATGAAAACCGGTACGAGCCACCTTAAGTCAGAAAATGTGTAGTTTGAACTCAAATGGAGCTAAACGTAGTTTAAAACTAAGTTAAACAAGGCAATTCACTCATTGGCTTTAAAGGGTCCCAGAGAGGTCTGCAGAGGCATTGCATGAGCTTTTATTCAATTTAATTTGCTAATTTTTTTGTTTTGTTCACATTTCATTGCTAATACCAGATTTTTTAAAGTGATATTATTTAAAACCCTTTAAATCTCATGAGTGACCAAGAGAGAATTTCTCCTTACAATATCAATACAATATCAAGCAGACAAGTAATGAGAACACTGAGAGAAAAATGTAAACTAGGGGACAAGTAGTTGATCCAATACCAAATTTTTCAAATTAATTCTATTATAAGAATTGTCTGTCAGACAGTAAGGAAAGTTACTATTGAGGTCATGGGAGTAAAGGGTTAAAAATATTGTGGTGTTATAATCTCTCACCTATTGTCTGATTCTCTTCAGCCATTGCTTTAAAAATCTCTACTGCATTGTCATCCAATTTATCCTTAGGTTCCATTCTTCTTGTTGCAGACAAAGGTCTACTCTTCTTTTCTGAAGCTAGAACAGAAATTAAACAAGAAACAAGGTTGCACATAGTTGATTTACATTCTCAGAATAGTTATCTTTCTTAACTGGTATAGCGCCGCACTGTTGTGCGGGAGGTCGAGAGTTCAAATCTGGCTGGACCAACAATCAGGGTCTTTAAATAACTGAGTAGAAATTGCTGCCTTTGTAATAATTTCTGCAAATGGTTAGACTTTCTAGTCTTCTCGGATAGGGACGAGAAATGAAGGTCCCGTATCACAACCCCTTATATGTGACTTAAATTTGTGGGACGTTAAAGAACCCACACATTCCTTGAAAAGAGTAGGGCACGTAGTGCCCGGTGTTGTGGTGTATATTTGTGTAGTGTCTATCCAGGGTGAATTGGGGGGAGGGGTGGTGCCTCACATGGACCTTGTGTTCCGTTCCCATTAACCCTTCCGGGTCTAGTCACACCTGGTAAAGACGTTAAAACTAAAACTAAAAACTAAAACTATGTCACAATACAGGCCTGCTCATTGATTTAATTGAAATTATCAAGTTGAATGTGTTCATGAAAAAACTACTTTTACACCGAGAAGATGACGAAACAGAGAATTCTGAGCATAGCTGGCACACAGAGAGAGTCAACCTGTTTGGAATTTGCCACTAGCATAAAGATACCATTTGGACACATGACTCTTTTGAACTGATCATAGCAGTGACCAGGACACTTATCACATTTGAACCTACCAAAGGGCATAGCTTACCACCAAATGCAAATTCTCTGTAGCTTAAAAATACAGTGTCCCACCAAGAAATCAGAGGGTCTGAAGTTCACATCTTTCTGGGGAAACTCAATCAAGAGAGTGATTTATAAAAAAAAAAAGAAGAACTTAGTTCTTTACCTGATGTCAGGGTTACTTCTTGATTTTGTGATTCATGTTTTTCTGATCTAAAAAGTTGAAATCAATTAATTTTGTGTTCATACAACAAATGATGTTTTGCCAATTATCAGATTAACATTAGTTTTGAATTAATCTTACTTACATAAATCAAGAATTAAACTCATCAAAAAATAATGTTGAACTTCAGAGGTCCCTTCAATGCAGTAAGACCTGGAGCTCAGAAAATCCCACTGATGGTAACCATGTGGCATTAACCAACCATTACTGTTGCACTGAAATTTCACTGGAATACTACACCAACCCTCCTTTTTTACCTACAACATAGGTGGGGGAGTGAGGTAGAAATGCAACAGCTGATAAAAGCTGTAAATGTGAAATGATCCACAAAGATTAGTAAAGTAAAGCAAGCCACATATACAATCACATGCATCTGCTCCTGAAGTCTCTGTGGTCACCCTGTACAATGCCTGTTTGCATAGAATGCAGCCGCTGGTCACAACCCTGGTCTTAAGGTCAACCTTAACCATAGTACAATTAGCTATATCAAATTAATTATCGTTACAATTATTATTTTTGCTCTTGGGAATCATAACTTTAAAAACAAATACTTGTTACTTGCTAATTAACTAGTAATTACTTATAAATCAACTTGATTAGAAAATCAAAGCACTCACCTCTTTTGTTGTTTAGCATAAGATCTGTCATCTTTGGGTGAAAAGTGTTCTATGCTGTCATAATGATCGGCATTCTTCTTTCGCCTTTGATAAGGAAGCAAAATTATGGAAATAATTCATTTCATAAAGACTGTCAATTGAAATCTTTATACAGGGGAAATTAAGGGTAATGCAGAAAATTTATTTTATGTGTGCAGGCAAAAAATTAATAACTAAAAGTGAAAAACTAATTTTTAGGTCACCTCACTCAATTTTCTTTTACAAGATAATACGGAACACTTTTTAATAACTTGAGGCATTTTCAAAATTCATGACTGACTTTTGCAATCACTGACACAAAACAATGATCATTAATTAAAAGTAAAAAAACATTCTGACATATCACATAACAGACATGCCTGTGGGACAACGATTCCTTACTCTGTATAAATATAATCAATCACACAATGTTTTTCCACAAGGAAAAGTAAACATTACCCGTAACTTCATAACCATCTTAAGAGATAGCAAATGATGCCTACCTTGTTGCTGACAAGTTTCTTTCTTTTCTTTTCACTAAAATCAAATGAATATAAATGGGGGCATTCAGCAAACAGAATTATCACATTTAACAACAAGAACAGCCCCGGTAGAAATGGCTAAGTTTAAATGCAGTAAAGAATGACGTTTATGGAGGTAAAAGCTGTCAAAAATTTCAATCATTATGGGTGTGTCTTGACAGTAAGTTTAATTTTGAAGGCAGAACTTTTATAGAGCCATATGCATATGGCTATGCAATAATTTGGCTCAACATCAGTTTAAAAGATAGCCTGCTTGCAGGCAGTAGGCTGTAGATTCAGCGCAGCAAATATTCAGTCACCATATTGGATGGGTAGAAGATTTGGGACGAGTGACAAAGCAAGGGGAAGGGGTTTTTCTTTGTTTTCCTGGTTTTTCTCTCCTTTGCTCCTTCCCCTTGCTTTGTCACTTGTCCTGGATCTTCCAGCTGCCCAATATGGCAATCAAATATTCACCACGCTAAATCTTGCACCTAAAAACACAAACTACCACCTGCATAAGCAGGCTATTACAGGTAAAGGACATTAAACTTCAGATAAAACTTCCTTGCATGTCTCTCTTTGCTTAGTTTCTACTCTGTGCGCAATTGTGTTAAAGTTAAAGTTAATTGAGGACTGGAGGGCTATGCTCGATAAAGGGGAATTAGTTGCGGTAGTCTCAATGGATATTTCTAAGGCTTTTGATGTTATTCAACACAATCTACTTTTAGCAAAACTCAAAGCTTATGGTGTGGGAGAGAGATGTTTAGCACTCTTCAAGGATTATTTTTTGGGGAGACAGCAGAGAGTCAAGATTGGGGACACCTTTTCCAGTTGGAAAGCTGTTAAAAGAGGAGTTCCACAAGGAAGTGTTTTGGGGCCTGTGTTTTTTAATATATTCATCGACGACTTGTTTTACTCGGTTAGGCAAGGTAAGTTTCACACATATGCGGATGATCATCAGTTATACTCTTCTGATGTTGACCCAGTAGCTCTAGAAAACTGTATTTGTCGGGAAGTGAGAGTTGCAAATAAGTGGTATCGCAGCAATGGAATGATTGTAAATGAGACAAAACACCAGGCTATAGTCTTAGGAAAAACAGGCCAATCCTTCTCTTTTCCATTAAAAGATTCTTTGGATATATTTGGAATAAATATTGACAATAGGTTGCGTTTTGATAATTATATATCAACTATTTGTAAGAAGATAAATGGCCAGTTCAATGTAATACTAAGATTTTGTAATCTTATCTCTAAAGATACTCTATTAAGATTCTATAAGGCTTTTATTATGCCACATTTTAACTATTGTTCGTCTGTATGGCACTTTAGTAGTGCGCGTAGTACTGAGAAGATAGATACTTTAAACAAGTGAATTCTTAGAGTTATCTTACAGGATTATAATTCTCCCTATGACTCTCTACTTTGCAAAGTTAACTCTAAATCTCTGTATAAAAGACGCCTTCAGACTTTCTTAATTATATTGTACAAGAGCTTGTTTTTTAACTGCTATCCAGGCTATCTAAGCAATATGTTTAGTTTCCGGTCTGTATCCTATAATCTTCGCGGAAATTATATTTTGTCTCTACCGTCTACAAAAACTACTACTTAAGGTCTTCACTCCTTTTCATATATGGCTTCAAAACTATGGAACTCTTTTCCGGAATCTTTTAGAACATCTGACTTTTCTGATTTCAAGCGCAAGATTCTACAGTATGACTCTTTCTCATAGTTAAATTTTAGAATGTTACATTTTACATTTTAATAGTATTTAGAATTATACTTGTAACTCGAGGATACCAGCTTATTCTTTAGCTACTCCAACTTCGAGATTAAATAAAGTATATGTATGTATGTATGTTTGTATGTATGTATGTATGTATGTATGTATGTATGTATGTGTTTGCTAACAACACTCATACATACTCACCTGTTGATGATGAAAAACTAAGAACAAGATCCTCAACTGGATTCTCTGATTCATTTCTAAGCTTTTTACTTCTTTGATGAGGTCTTTTCTCATGGCCATCAGAAGTCACGGAAAAATCTCTATTTTTCACAGAATTATTTTTTCCATGGCCAGAGTCAACTAATGAGGTTTTCCCAAACCCCACACTCTCTGAAACGCTGCAGCCAGTGTTTGTAGAGCTTTCCACTTCAACTTGTCTTTTGTCTGGTGTACTTGTCAACTGTGGAAGTCTTTCTAACACAGCTGCATCATGGAGATTTAAACTACTATTTGCCTCTTCCAGTTCTTCTTCAATTTCATCCTCATTGTCATTATCAATGTTATTGTTGTTGGTATTTTCTTCTTTTGTTTCTTCCTCTATTCTCTGAGGAGCAAAAAGCATGTTAAGAGATTTCTTTCTTCCTAACTCTGGAAAGTTGTGAAGTCACTACCCATTTTGATTCTGCAAAATTGATATTTATCTAATACAAGACCTATTATACAATTCATGTTCGTTAAGGGAATAGGGAGATCACTGCAGTAATGCGCTTTTAATTCATATCAAGAAGGTAGAATAAATTATACAAAAATCCTTTGCAAAAAATTAATGTTACATGTGGCTTGAATCATGTAGAGTTCTGCAAAGTGAACAAAGTCAGTAAGAGTTACTGTGACAGTTGGTACCTTTTTGGCTGCTTCAATGCTTTCCTTTATTGATTCATCAGCTTCCAGAGACTTACGAAGTGTCTAATGTCATAAGGCAATGAAAAAATACTTACTAAAGATACATGTGATATAATAATTAAAAATTTAAATAAAGCAAAGTATTTCCCAAATAGTTCAGACATAACTATCCACAGAAGTAGTGTTTTCTTAACCTCAACATCATTGAAACTGAGAGTAAGTTCATCTACTTCATCGTCATTGTCATCATCATCATCATCATCATTGTTGTTTAACTCTAACTCATCTTGATCACTTAGATCATTATCAGCAACATCCTAAAGTGATGAGGGCACACAGAATTAATGACCATTCTATGGAATTGTACATCAATAACGGAACACATTCTGATTCTGTAATTGGTCAAGTTTAATACAAAAAATTAATATGTAACTATCATTATCTAATTACCAAGTAACACATTTCAAACATTTTAGTCATCAGAAAGAAAAAATGGAATGTGAAATATCTACACACACTTGTACAGGCATTCTCTCACCTGATCAGAGGCACTGTCACTACTGTCCACAGCTACAGATTCAAAGTCTTCACTGTATTTACCAGTAATCCTCCCTAACAATAGCAAGTCTATTTTGTGAATGTGATGGTCTCCACCCATGACAAGTTTGCATGGTTTCTTTCAGTCGGTGAGAACATCAGTTTGCAAGGTCAAAACTCTTCACAGTAATACATACGGGAATTTTTTTCCTCAACTCAAGAAGCACTTGTCTGACCATGCAAACATAAACAATTTCTTATCATCATTTACCTACTCTCACTTTTGTATATGACTTGAAAATAAAATCACAAACAATGATCATTAAAAAAATGCACCTTTTAGGTGTAGATCTTTTGTTGCGGTTGTATTTGAGAATTATTTTAAAATCTGATTTCAACTTATCCATTCACTGGTTTCCAATTGTGGATGTATTCCTTCAAAATTTAGCTGATTAGAAGTAGAAAAGATCTTCAAAACCACTTTGCCTTTCATATCATTTCTCCTATTGATTCAGAAGTGAACGTTTAAGATTATTTTTATTTGAACTATGAGTAACCATACAAACACTGTTCATGGTTCTTAAACCCAAAATAATGTCAACATCAATTTGTTCATCAATCTAAAATATACCTGGTGCCTTCAATCTCACACTCTTTCCTCCCTCAGTTTTTATTTGAATTGAATCCTATTGAGAGAGATCAATTACATGGATATTAATAAACCCAGTGGGAACTATTTGCCAGATTGCTTTTGAAATGAAGAAGAAGAAGAAAACTTTATTTAACGAGGGTAAAACACATTGATTACTGATCACCCAATAGTTTTCATAATGGCCCTCCTGAAATGATCCCTCTTGAAATGATGCAGTTAATTCTGGATCATACCTGTAGTCAAGTCATCACCGGGAACAAGCAGTGTTAGAGCCCAGGCTGAATCATTTTTCACAAGACACAAAGGTGTTTCAGGAAAATTTCAACAAATTGTTGGCAAAGGGGGTAGTGTCTAGTTCTTGAGGGAAAGCAATAATCCTCATTGCTAATGTGGGATAGAATACTGTTACAGTAACAGTTATAGCAATATCCAATTAGACTTGAAAGATTGCAACACAGTCATTCTGTAACTGAAAGACATTTTGAGACTCTGTCAGCAAGGGGTCTCCCTGGGACAGACAGATTGTTAATACCCCTTGCATGGTTTCTATGGAGACCAACTGAGCTAAACCTTGCATCTAATGGTACATGTATATCTCCATTATGCCAAATTTTTTCATCTTGCCAAAACTGAAGGACGACCAACAATTTCAGACTATAATACATCAAATTTATATCCTTAGTTGCTCATGGTTTTGAGGACACTGCAGCTACCATAAGTATTTTGTATAATAGTTCTGAAGTTGATGACTGGACAGTCTACATACATATTTCCAGCCTTTTCTTGTACTAGGAGTGGGATCTGGAGCTGTTTTCACTCTGACATCCCTGGAATAGAAAAGTACATTTATCTTTGGTTAATTCTCCCATGACAGTAAATAATGTTATTGTGTTGTAACTTTTTAAAGGCTATGTTTTCGATACTGAAAATGTTATTCAAGTCCTTAAAACTAACTGAAGTAGGAACCAAATCTACTTTTACAAATTTTGTGAACTTTAGGTAATGTTTAATGGAGATTTATTGTTATCCCAGAAAAAAATAATAATTCCATTTTAATTACTGTTAAGGGATTGATTTAGTTTTCCTTTAGTCATTATACTTGTTAATTTTGACTTTTCATAGGGGTTCCAGATTAAAACAAAACATGAAACCCATATTTGTAGCTAGTTATTTTACACACAATTGATACCAGAACAGTTTTATTTAATTTAATAATAACAAGTCCTTATAGTCCTTATCACCTGGATTCAGCCTCTCTTTCTAATGTTTCCAGTTCATGTTGTAAATTCTTTTTTCTTTCTCGATATGCATCTGGACAAGGAATGAAAAGAAAGAACAACATCAGTTATGCTGACTCAAAAAGTAGACTACCTGTAATATGACAGGTGACTTTAAAGTAAACAGAATATCATCTTACACCCCGCTTTAAATACCTTAACTTGATAGCAGCTGATCATTTAAAAAAAAAAAAAAAGATCGATCCCTCAAATTCCTAAACTAAATTATGCATAAATAAGATAAAAGTGGCTATTTACATACATACATACATACATACATACATACATACATACATACATACATACATACATAAAATCCCCTGATGAGTGGGCAACCACGAACCAGGTCTGTAGGGATGTATATGTAGTTGTTTTTTTCCGACTACCACACATTATACCCGCTCTACTATTTGTATCGAGCACTGTTTCACGGACACCAAGTTCAATCCCTCTACATACATTCATACATACATACATTTTATTGTATTTTGGGATAAAGGTACAGTAACATGCCCACGGC